CCCCCGTTTATATGATATAAAGTAAAACAAACAAAAATCCTTTGCGAAATTGTCAGTAACATTTCCCCTGGAGGTTTGTTGTAAACCAGAATGTTGATATCTGCCCTGATTTGTGTGTCCTTGGATGAGTTGCCACACCCTTATGCTGCCTTTTTCTTTCTTTTTTTTTTTTAATCTCCCAGAAAGTTAAGCAAATGTTTGTGTAGGTAGTGAACTTTCTTAATATACACAGTTTGATAAAAAGAGCTAGAGAAACAGAAACATCATGTGAGAAAGACACATCAATTGGTTGCCTCCCACACAGCCTCATCCCCGGAAGGGATCTAACCTGCTACCCAGGTATGTGCCCTTGACCAGGAATCGAACCCGGGACCCTTCAGTTCATGGGCTGTTGCTCCGACTACGGAGCCACACTGGGAAGGGCATGAAATATTCTTCATTTGATGATAGGTCATTAAGGATTTTGAAAATTCTTTAACCTTTTGGTCAAGTACTATTATCAGTCCTCTCCCCCAATGACTCATTTTCTTATGGAGGATTGTACCCCAATAGTTGAATTCAGTGGAAGGATATGTAAGGTTGAGTCCAACTAGTTGAAGAAAAGATGTGCTCACTAGCACATCAGTTAATCAATATTTACTAAATATCGTATACACCAAGCTTTTAGGACAAGTGATTTACAACAATAATAATCATTGTTTTACTTATATATGTCTTGCCCTGGCTGAATAACTCAGAGCATTGACCCAGTAGGCCAAGGTTGTGGGTCGAGTCCCAGTCAGGGCACATACAAGAATCAACCAATGAATGAATAAATAAGTGGAACAACAAATTGATGTTTCTCTCTGAAATCAATAGATAAAAATTAAAAAAAATTAAAATAGATTTCTTACCAAATATTTTAGACATACAAAACAAGTTTTAAGCAGTTACTAAGTACTGTCATCCTGCTTTTTATATTGTTTTTCAAACATGACTTTGATTCATAATTCATTCCAAATAAGTGGTCACCAAGAGTTCTTAATATATATTACAGAGTTGAAGGGACGGGGTGTTGTTGTTTTTTTAACAGCTTTATTGAGATAATTAGCATATACAACTCACCAATTGCACAATTTAATGAATTTTAATACATTCACTGAGTACACAGCCATCACCACAATTTTCATCACCCTAAAGAGAAACCCACTACCCACTAGGAGTCATTCTTTTTTTTTTTTTAATCCTCACCCAAGGACATGTTTTTATTGATTTTAGGGAGAGAGAGAAACATCCATGTGAGAGAGATATGCCTCCTGCTGCCCAGGACAGTGCACCAACCGAGCCGCAGGGCAGGAGTATTTTATTTTATTATTTTATTTTATTTTTTCCATCTCCACTTCTCCCCTCTA